ATAGTTGAATTTTCCCACAACCAGATGAATAGGCCTCAGGCTTCCAGCGAATTTTGCATAGCCTTAATTCCCAGAAGGTGTTCTCATCTAGGATGGATTAAACTGGACCTCAGTTTGGCATTCTCTCGGGTCTCTCGGGTCGACACGTAGACGAGTACGTCAGACTGCCGCGAGTGCTGTTGAGTCACAAGACAGAAGTGAATTTCAAGTAAGCCTAGGCCTACTCATAAGATAGTGGGAAAATGCAACTATCGGTCTTTAATGGCCTAAACGAAATAAGGTAAGTCCAGTTCCTAAAAATTAGTTGTATAAAGTCGGAGCAAGCAATAAGGGAAGAATCAAAAGAGTTGAAAATATCCTCCATTCTTTGGGAGCCTTCAAGGTAAGATACATTGACTACAGGGAAAGATGTAAGGAGATGTAGCTGAAGTTTTTAGACAGAATGAAGGCATTCACAGAACAAATTCACCTAATCTCAAATGAGGCTTTCAAGAAATGGGAAATAAGATAACCTGCAAAGTACTTATTACATTCTGTGAAGGCTATATAAAAATATTTTTTGCATAAATTTCTAGCTCTTGCTGCTCCCAAAATTGCAGCCTAGCAACATCCTTTGTATATAAGAGAAGATTGAATTAGCTGAGAAATGTGTTTATCTACGTGTTTTCAAGTGCAGTGGAAATAATACCCGTGGGAAAATGAATAAGTGAAGCAACGATAAAATAATAAGATTGTATAATTTAGCTGAAATCGAATAATATGGCAAAAATTCTGAGAAAGAAATAATTACGCCAAAAATTAATCTCCGTTAAATATAACAATACCGTGATAAATAATAAATAGAAAGCTTACCGAACTATCCGAATCAGCGTCAGAATTCCAATCAGCAATCTTCAGATTCAGAGTCTGATGCTCTGGGGGCGATTTAGGAACAATAGGTTGGAATTTAGGTTTATCCGGCTCCATTCCTCTGCGGGAGTCTCTAACTGAAAGAATGGATGCGGAAAATTATAAAATTTAACTATATACAAGCAAATTTAAATACAGAACTTGGGAAAAATACCAGATTTGTTTTATTCGAAAGTAAAACGTTCATAACAACTGAGCGTCGTCATGTACATGTAGTCAACCGAGTTGTTTTTATCTCCGAACACATACCAACAGGGTCCTAAATCAACTGGAGAGCAAAGAGAAGTGGCGACAGTACGACATGGATTCGAAGGCCTTTTTAAGATATATAATTAAATCATACCTTGTAAATTAATTATACATACTCATTCATTCACTGTCATCGACTCAGCAATCAAAGCCTGAAGTAACAAACTCACCTTAATCGAAGGTATGAAGACTAGAATAAAGTGGCCTTTTGTGTGGTCGCGGACTCCTTTCGTTGTATAGAAGTCGTTTAACGTTGTTTTCCAAACCTGACCATATTGCAGAAAAACCAGGAGGAACGCATTTTGTTCGGAGTCCACAGTTTGCATGATGATTTCCGGAGTCGGACAGTGGACTTGGTACATGCCCAGACGTTTCGCCGGTATCGAAATCGGCATTGCCAGTGAGTCTTGCCGTTCTCAGCGCCAAACCACAATTCGTCAAAGAGACAAGGGAAGTCAATCCCTTGACCAACTTTATGTCGCAACGGTTGTACTGTCACTCGTCCTTCTGTAGCATCAGCCACTCGAAAGGGAGAGGAGCAGGTGCGATGACGCCAAGGTAACTTCGCCAAAGGGCACATCTCTTGTGGAATATAGATACGTCATAAGTTGTGATAGGACGAGGGCGAGACTAGAGGGTATGAAATGGATAGAGGGACCGGGACAAAACAAGGAGCGGTAGTATATCCGTCTCGACGGAAAGTTGGTCAGGATATTGACTTCACGTGTCTCTTTGACGAGTTGTAGCTTAGTTGTTGAGAATGGCAAGACTCACTGACGAGGCCGACCAAGATGCCGGCGAAACGTCCGAAAATGTACCAAGTCCTGAGTTGAGGAAGACATAAAAGCGTATGATAAAGATTAATCTGGCTCAGTTCCAACGGCCAAACCGAGACAAAAAAGTGAGATTTCGTCATTTTACACGAGTAAGGCTTTTAACGGTATTTACCGGGCCTTTCATCACAAATGAAAGAGTAACGATAAATAAAAGTACAATTTTAACATTTAATAAGCTCATTTTTGATAAAAATGAAACAATTGATATCAAAGTAGGTTGGTGCGGTTGACATGAGTGCCGGTATGACCTTGTAACCATACAGGCAGGCATGAATACTTGCCTTAAGAAAGAATAGGACGAAAATCGACTGCCATAGTTACCTAGTATGCTGGCAGTGGGAAATGAAAATTTAACATACCACATGGTCGCGGAATTCAGCGATCAGCTACTAAGAAGCATAATAATTGCCACTTAACATCTCAGAGCTTCTACAGCGAAATTATATTAAATGAATTAGAGAGAGCTTGGGGCCTACATTTAATTCCATTTTACTGGATTTTCCAAATATGCATTCTGATTTTGAGTTGAATGAGGCTGCGCCAACGCTATCGGAACTCAGAATAGAGTCCTAATGACGATGGGCTACAGAGGGGATAACCCTTGAAGCATATCGGGCATATCCCAGCTGATCTATCTAGTGAAGACATGCATCAATGAATAACTGCATACTTTGCTGATTTGCTATCCAGAAGACAAAACCGAGGGCTTCATAGCATCGAGACCATTGCATTGTTTTAGTAAATACTCAAATTTAATGATAACCTCGCTTTTTTTCATCAATATAAATCCCTACACAGGGTTCATATGCCGTCCATACAAAGTACGATCAGACTAAAGTCTGGTTAAAATAAAAAGATATTTTAGGATGCAATCAAATGACAATCAAATTCAAAGTAATGAATTATTTTACCGGCTGCCAGGATGCGAGAACACACTGAGGGAGATTTTTATTCTTCGCGTCATGAGAACTTGAGAAGTTCGAGTTTAAGATTTGAGTATGAATCATTGTTAACTAGCATTTAATAAAGTATACCTCATTTAAAAGTGGATATGCAGATCAAGCTATTGTGGCCTTTCCTTAAGTTGCAGTCTCCTTCCGATGCATAGAAGTGGTCTGACTTCGTTTTCGCTACTTGATCGTGTTGTTAAGATGACTTATTTGGACGCTTCTTGCCCAAAATCCTCTGCTATCATAATTATCAGCTTTGGAATGTACCAAGTCAACAGTCCAATGCTGGGAATTATCATAAATGCTAGAGCAAAGGACTTTGTGCAAGACGCGTTCAACTGGGTCGCCCTGACGACACGAGCAAGTTGCGAAAACGAGGTCAGATCACTTTTATAGCTCATTTAATTGCTCTTAGACAATAGGAATAGCTATGAATACAGTGAATTGAGAGATGATTTACAAACATCATGAGTTTAATCACCTGACTCACCAAGATGTTGTCCGTTTTGCTCAGTAAGCACTTTCTCTTGAACTCGCTGCCAACACCCATACCCTGTTTGAGGCTGTTGCCAAGACGCATTCTCATCTTTGCTCTGTGCAGCTCTTGAACCGGTAGGATCTTCAACTAGCTTCGATACAATATCATGGCCACGTGGAATCCTAGTTGCGACAACTCCATCTGTTACTTCACTTGCAGGAACAGTCGTATTTCCACTTTTATCATCAGTCCCAGAGTAAAAAATGATGCCGTTTTCTTCTTGCAGCTCATTCTTCTTGAAAATTGCATTAGTTTGACCTTCCGAGTCCTCCTCAAGTGGTGTTCTATTTGCCTCGGTAACTGATGAGGCGAGTGCAGAGGCACCAGATGAACCTGGTATGCGACCAAACCACCCGGTCAGCGAAACTGGAATGAATGAAGGATCTAACCAACGTAGAAGACGAGCCGATGATCCATCCAATTTGGAGGTCCACAATTGGCGGCCATCTGCACTACACCAATAAAGCTGGC